GGTACCTCCCTGAAATGAGAAGGGCACCTCCCTGAAATTACTCTTTTCATGTTGGGATGCCGCCTGACATAGTGACTCACCCACTTAGTCACCAAGTGAGCAAGTCTATCAAATCTGTAGAGGGAAGGATGCAGGCTGCCATAGGATGACTAATTCACAATGGGGGAAATTTATCATAGCAATTGCACGTGTTTGAACTTGCATGGAATATATTTGCACCAGATTTATGAAGCTAGTGTAATGTTCTTGATAAATGAGGTTTAATAGACTCCAGGAAAAAAGACTTCTAACTCCAGGCAAAAAGCTTAACTGTCGCTTCTTGAAGAAGTGGTCATGAGGACTTCTTAAGTTGTGAGTGTTTTCTTAGGTGATGCTCCAGTTTCAGACAGCCACAGAACAAGTGCAGATGAAAACATGTGCAAAAAAGGTGCAAAAAACATGCAGTTGAAAAAGTAGTGCAAGCTCTGAAGAAAACGGGCACATGTTGAAAGACAGATTTGCACATTAAAAAAAATGATCTAAGAGGCTAAAACTGTTGTAATTGCTTTGATAAATTCCCCCCAATGTATTTAAGTAAGGTGCTGCGTGACGGGGTAATTGTCAGTCAAACTATCACAGCATTAAAAGATGAAAAATGGCCTGGTAATGAAGGGTTATTACAGACTTGGACTGAAATTTATGAAGGTCTTGTCCAGCTAGTTCTGGGTAAATCCTCATAACCTTGATCATTATTAATTATTCATTGTAAACATAAATCCTCTGTACATAACCGTGACCCTGTTACCATAACAACCTTTCTAATATGAATTCACCACCTTCCTGATGGTAATTCTGACACTGTGGATATACATTGGGATGTTTTCTAGACGTTTTTTCAAAAACCTACTGTTAGAATTGAATATAGCTCATTATAGTAAAACAGTCAAAGAGAACTACTGTACCATATGCAGACTGGATCTAATTAATCACAGCAAAACAAGGTTGCACTAGGAAAATATATGACCATGTATACCATGAAACACGAAGAGCAGCTGATTACACAGTTTTAGGGATAGGTGTAGCTTGCATTATGTAAATTGTTCTTATTTCAGTGTTTGTTATGTAAGATTTTTATTTATTTGGGTATTCTAAAGGTATAATATATATATATATACACACACACACACACACATATAATAAAGCACTCACAGTATGACGTTACACGTATGTTATTACTCAGGCTCAGTTCCAGTCCACAAACTTTACACTAAATACAAAGTGAGGAATTGTATTACAAACTTAAAGTGATTTTAAAGTGATTTTTTTTTTAGAGGGACACTAAATTTAGGAGTTAAACCTTAAAATACATTCAAGCACCTTGACCATTAACAAAAAGCACAGATCTGCTTCATCAGCTTCTCTCCAGCATCTGAAGCTGGAGAGTGACACAAGAATGCGGAAGTGATGTAATACACACGACTTCCGCATTCTGACAGCGGAGAGGGGGGACCGGATACCGACGGATCGCTTGTATGTTAACATGCGCGCGAGGGGGCGTGGCTGAGCGGACGTCTAAAGACGCCCTCTCAGATCTAGAGAGCTCCTTTTTTTTACAACGGCTGGCCGGGAAGTGGTTAAAATCATGTTTTTAATTTTTTTGACCTCACCGCTCCGCCATCCTGACAGCAGGCAGCGCTCCCTCCTGCGCCCCCTACACTACAATCTCATGTTTAATTTAATACAGTAATTTGCATTGAGATTGTAGTCCAACACGGGAGCGAGCTTGGAGCCGTGGCTACTGTACAACACACACAGGGACAATAGAGAACAAAAGTAGTCACCCTCCAGAAGGAAGGACAGTGTCAGCGCCAAATCAGAGATGATTTGAGGATCTACAGGCGAGTGATACACATATAAGATACATTTTTGTTAACGGTCAAGGTGCTTGAATGCACTTTAAGGTTTAACTCCTAAATTTAGTGTCCCTCTAAAAAAAAAATCACTTTAAAATCACTTTAAGTTTGTAATACAATTCCTCACTTTGTATTTAGTGTAAAGTTTGTGGACTGGAACGGAGTCTGAGTAACAACATACATGTAACTTCATACTGTGAGTTTAGGGTCACTTTAACATGCTGAGAGTAGGACATACTCTACATTCAGCTTCTTCTGCAGTTTATGTTTTTCTGTCCTCCCTTTTCACATTGTCTCGACCACTGGCCTAAATTTTCATTGTAAGGGTAAAAAATAGCTTAAAACCCTTTTGACTTTAATATTATTATTATACAGGATTTATATAGCGCCAACAGTTTGCGCAGCGCTTCACAATATAAGGAAGACATCACTTTAATTGGTGTGATATGAGTTCTCCTTATTCTGTTCCATTGTAAGGGTGGCTCCTTGGCTTGCAGTGTCCTTTTGAGCCACCGTTGGAACACCCTTGTGTACACACTCACAGAATATATGCATCTGCTGCCTGCACTGTACACACCCAGGCAGCACAGAGGAATAGAAAGAATCACAGGCACACTTGCCTGATGGTGCTAGGAATGATGGGACATGTAGTACTCAGAAGGGGAAACAGGAGACCCTTGTTCACATTCAGAGTGTGCGCTCTTTGACCAAAAGTTCAGGGAAGCCGCACAGAGGAAGTTGAAGGCTGCACCAGTAAATTGAATTAAATGTGAGTGTTTAGCGGCATTGATTTTTTAAATAATTAATTGTCCATTATAGGGCAGGTCAAGAGGAATGTATTTATAATTAAAAAGCTTAGGCATTAGTACTACTTTTCTAATATAATTAAAGGATATCTAAACCCAAAAACAAAAATGTAATATAGTGCAGTTTGGCCTTCCTTAGATATTGTGGCTGCATTGGTTTTCTTGCTAAGAACATTTTTTTGAAGTACAGAAAAATCCCCGTTGATCCTGCCAGAATTGTAGTGTCCTTGTAACTTCTTGTACACTGAACCAGTCTCTTAAACAATATTAAAGGTTAAAGATTCTTATTCCTGCCGCTCACTATGCCACACACGTCTTGTATATATTCAGATATCTGGAGCCTCTTCTCCTTCAGACAGTGGTGGGGACAGGCAGATATGACAGGGGTAGGTGTGGGCACATATACAGCATGGCTACCATTGACCTCCAATAATCTTTGAAAAAGGGAACTCATTATTCTGTCTCGGTACTGCTTCTTTTAGTAGATCAGCAATTTTGAATTTAATAGCCTTTCAAATTCAGAAATTGAGAAAGATTTGTAAGGTTACAGTTAGTTCAACATTTCTGCTCTTCTAAACCATAGAAAACTACTTGTGTAGATCAGTATCAGACAGTCATGAAAAGGAAATTATATGCACGCCATTAATAGATAGCAGTGGAGTCCTTCTTTGTCCATTTCATAATCACTGCAGAGTGAGAAATATGGGCTGAAGTAAATGTCCGATTGTTCATGAAACAATTTCTAGAAACTTAAAAAGTAAAGAATCTCATTTAGAAAATGCAGCTAATACACACAATGCCAAAATGGAACTCTGTCCAGCAACTTGTATGACAAATGCATTGAGCCATCCGGTTTTCACCTTGCTCTGCAGTGCACTAATGTACATCGTTGACAGCTGCAGAATTCTGTATTGATAGTAAAGGGCTGCACCCCACATAGAATAAAAAGTTGCCATAGTGAGCAGTGTTCATGTCCAATTCTTTTCTTCTTATTGCTGTTCTTGTTCTCTGTCTGTCTGCTTTTTGGCCTATAGCAGTAGGAAGCTTCTAATAAGCGTTCTGCCCAACACTAGAGGTTGAACAGCATACACAGGTGTTTCTTCTGCACCTGTTGCATCCCCTTTGCAGCTAAATTCTTCTATATTCTCCTATAATAAAGCAGTTAGCACTGTGACCTTGTCTAGGAGATATCAGATGCCACCTTAAGTCCCTGGCACTTAGCTGGGGGCCTGAGGCTAGCACTTTAGGTGCCAGGGGCTAGCATAACTGCTGTTGCTGGTATCCAAGCTAAGTACAGTTAAACTGACAGTACTTTTGAGTTAGAACACACACAGTTCAGTCATGTCCAGCCCCTAGTCTACATGTGGCTGGAAACTGGTCAAGGGAGGACTTGGAACTTTCAGTCTGAGGGGCACAAGCAACCCGCTGATCCTTTCATGGCAGGGTCATTCTTTATAATCTGAAGTGCAAAGTAGGCTGGGGTAGTGCAGTAATTGGTGAACAGGCATTATCTAGATAGGATTAGATGTTTTGGATAATGGAGGACATAAAATGGGAGAGCAGGTTTTACTCAGACAGATGGATAGATAGATAGATAGATAGATAGATAGATAGATAGATAGATAGATAGATAGATAGATAGATAGATAGATAGATAAAACCTGCTCTCCCATTAAGCCCTCGAACAAAAGGGGACCTGCAATCAAGGTCCAATCCTCACCCGGAGGTGGTAGAGTAAGTGTCTGGCTGTTTTCTGGGTTATTGTAAATGCAGAGAGAAATTAGAGAGAAAATACAACTCATGAGCCATTCTAGGTGCAATGTGTTCTTTATAGGCACTGGAGTCATACCCCCCTCAGCCACCAATAAGCTTCAGATCTGCTCTGAGGGTTTGTTTACCCCATCTCCAGACCAGATCTGGATGCATTTCTCTAAACACGTGAATGCATGTTTTTGATGCGTTCCGGTACATTCTTTTGTTCTCAATTGGTTTTGCTTGGGTTTTAGGCACGTTCCAGTGCAAAAAATGCAGCATGCTTTACATTTGTATATCTAGCCTCATTTAAAACCATTGGAATGACTGTGTATGAAGTTTTGGTGCAGATAGAAATATTCTGGTGTGAACAGGCCCTGAAGGTTTGAATCCAATTGGTAGCTGAGGGAAAATAAGTTCCTATTAAGAACACATTGACTCATACGGCCCTTAGTGAATATATGATGAGTAAATAAAGTACACGGCAAATGATAATTCATTGGCCACTCTAAGTGTGACAAATTAATGTATTCTTTATAGAGACTGGAGTTGTGCCCCCACAGCCACCAATCAGCTCTAGATCTGTTCTGAAGGTTTGAATCCAATTGGTGGCTGTGGGGAAATATGTTTGAATTAAGAACACGTTGATTCATAAGGCCCTTTGAAAGTATATGATGAGTTAATGAAGTACAGATGCACGTTAAGCAACCCCCACCTTGCTTAAAGTAGAAGTGAAGCCAAAACATTTTTTGTTCTTTTTGGGTAACTTAATGGAGGGTTTTAATCCCTGACAGTTTTTTTTTTGCCATCTGTGTCCCACTGGGATGAGTTCCCTTCACTTTCTGCCTGATAGCCACAACAGGAAGTAGGAGGAAATCCCTCCAATGGGAGGGAAATCCCTGATGGTCACCAAGGTTACCAGAACTAGTGTCCACATTGGACAATTTCCCACCTATTCTTGTTCTGATGACAACTCAATTTTAGAATCCTAATTCAGAATTTTCTTTCACTTTCAGTGATAACGGTCACCAGGACAATTAGAGGGGGTGAATCTCCCTAACGGGGACCCAGACAGGAATAAAAACCTGACTAACCCCTCTCCATTCAAAAAACAGTTTTGGATTCAGTTGCCTTGAATTCATGATTGTGTGTACTTCTGGAAGAAATGTACTCAACTGTTGAGAGTTCACTGTGAGCCACTGTAAAGGGAACGGACACAGGCACACGTGGCTTGTGGTTGGCTTGTGGTTGGGGACCTCAGATCTCCACCACTTCTGCCTGGTTTGCAATTACTTGTATACAGGAAAATGGCTATAATACCGTTGGGCCATCATTTATAAAGGTATTTAGCTGTACATTTTCTGCATACTCCTGTTAGAAAAAAAGCTTCATAAACAAAACCCTATTCACATTCTCTTAAATGACATTTAAAATTTAGAGTGCCCTCGCAAGAAATCAAGGCTGCCTTATTTCCTGCTAAATAGCTTCCTGAAAGCATTAATGGTCTGTGTCAGCTTGAAGCCGCTGCAAGTTAACTCAGCAGCAAAAAAAGGTAAAATATTGCACTCACTGCATTGCTACAGCGGTCAATAGATTCAGCTTGACTAATTCTGAGCATCACAAATTCTGGTTCACTTCTAACCTGCTGTCTTCATTTTCAGCTTGCTGAATTCTAACTCATTTACTGTCATACGAGACGATGCCTTTGCTGGTCTCTTTCACCTCGAATACCTGTAAGTGCTCCACTAAATGTCGTATGCTGCATATGAATTTTTAATCCTGCCTTGGTCTTAATTCTCTGGCCTGTGCAATGTTCTGAGCAGTTTCTACAGCTACACTCATGCCCCATGTTTATTTTGCCATCCAGGAGACAAAACATTGAACCAAATGGTGCTTTTTCTGCCTTGAGTTTGAGATTTAATGAGGATATATAGCTGCCAACATTTGGCTTTATTCAGTAAAGGGTTCTTATTCCTAAGATTGGTAGCCTATAATAATCAACTAGAATCCACCCTGCTGAGGGCAGACCAGCAAAAGATGGATTTTGATTGGTTGCTATTGACTATTGTACTAAATAATACTTTCTTGAATGAATAGAGTTGCTTATAAACTCTACAATTAAAGAAGAACTTCCACTGAAACTATTTTTTAGTTTTGGGTAGAGAGGGAAATGAACCTGTGTCAGGTTTTTATTGCTGCTGTGTCTCTATTGGGGAGATACACTCACACTTTCTGTCCTTAAGGTGGCCATACACTTACCGGGTTATTCACAAAAGGGTGAAGAGTTTGGAGAAGGCAGGAGAAGTGAACAATCTAGGACAACATAGCTGATTTGGAAAAATTCTCCAATTCAGCTCACTTTCCAGTTCATCTATATTGGCCTAGATTGTTCACTTCTTCCTTCTCCAAACGCTTCACCCTTTTGTGAATAACCTTGTAGATGTTTTTTTCACATTTAGACCCCTGAACTAGAAAAAAATGCTTGATTTCCCCTCCCCTACTAAACAGTGTGGATGGGGGATTCCCCTGCTGCCACCCGCAGCTGTCAGAATACCTGAACAGTGACTGCAGCTGATTGGAAACAAAAGTCAATTGAAAAGTCAAATGTTGTCAATTTTAGCCAATTCAGAAGGACTCCGACAAAATTCGAGCAAAGTATGGCCAGCTTAAAGTCTATTTCCTATTTGGAGGAAAACCCCTTCATGTTTGTTATGTGTTCCCATGCACACAGCATACTGAAAAATAATGTAAAAATATTTCTTACCTATTAGAAGTTTCTTTGGTGAAGGGCTTTGTGCAGATGCCAGGCTACACTGAGCAGTCTGAAGGTGAAGTAGAGGGACACACTGAGCTTCTTCTCATAAACATACAATGCTTCTAAGCCTTTGACCCTTTGTTAGGACAGACAGTGTTCACATCTAGTTTACAACTGATAATGAGATCTCCCAGCACAGTACAGACAGGGTTAATTTGAGTAAACATAACTTCCCCCAGCTCCCTCCTTAACATTGCATAGGGGAAGGTAGCCACCGCTCCAAGATCACTCCCATGATAGACTATAACGTCAATACAAATTAGCCAACTAAACATGAGATTGTAGTCCATCACGGGAGTGAGCTTGGAGTGGTGGCTACTTTACAACACACACAGGGACCATGGGGAACAAAAGTAGTCACCCTCCAGAAGGAAGGACAGCGAATTCAGAGATGATTTGAGGATCTACAGCTGAGTGATACACAAATAAGATACATTTTTGTTACTAGTTAAAGTTCTTGAATGCATTTTTAAGATGCAACTCCTGAGTTTAGTGTCACTTTAATGACAATAGCCTGGCCACAATTTTACTTTAACATTGTTCTCTAGCAAAAAAGAAAATCCAGCTGTGTTTAACCCACCTATGTAGTGAACTGTGGAATCCTCATTCCATATTTTCCAAGGTCTTATAAGTCCAGAGTATATTCCTACAGATAAACAGCACTGCATATCTGAGGCTCTGTTTACACAATATATGCACTATTGTACGTTATTAGCATGCATTAATGCATTGAAGTTGTTGTTTTTCTTTACATTTGTGTGTGTTTACACATGTTTTCTATGCATTTTACTGTGTTTTTCATGTGGTTTGTTGTTTTCATGTTTCGGCCTGAAAAAAATTAAAGAAATCTGTATCTCTTGTCTGCTGTTCATATCGTATACTGCATTAAAACACAGGGAAATGCACTGTATGCACATTTATTTGCATTGTCATTTATTTTTTTGAGCTTTCACCTCGCAGAGCAACACACATAGTCATAAAGGCTGCATTTTTGGTGTCACTTTGCACTAGAGTGCAGAGATCTGGACATGGCCCATTAACTTGGTGGGCATAATACCGGTTGGAACTACCTAGAGATGAGCTATGCTGATAGAACTAGCTAAGCTGCAATTGCTTAAAAAAGCTGGCTGCCTGGCAGTCTTTAATTCCTTTCTGAAGCACTGACCCGAAACAAGCTTGCAGCAAGTGAAGTCATAGCCAAGTCTGACATGCTTGTATGCATTAATATTCCGTGTCAGTTACTCAGGAAGTATTGGCATTTTTAGGTTGGAATGACAGCCAGGCACATGTTTTTTGTTCGTAAGGAGAAGTCAGGACTGGTAGCCACCATATTTCTCTTAGCATAGTTTTCACCTGCAGGAGGGGCTGTAGGTGACATGTGTGGAAAAGGGGGATCCTGTATATTGTACATGGACAGGACAGAAACAGCTGCCTGTCAGAGACGTACATTGTGTGCAGGCCATGTATTGTCTGGGGTGCATTATCTAACTTGCCCCAATAAGTCAGTACAGATGGCAGTATTCAATGTAGGCCTCAGTGATATCTGCTCGGCATTAGGGCCTGTTCACACCCTAGCATTCTGTTAATACCTTGCACCCTTGCACCTAGTGTGCATTCCGCTGGCATTTATTTGAATGGCACCCCAACAAACGATATCGCACAGTGCACCTAGCAAGCACTGAGCTGTTATTTATTTGAATGGCACCCAATGCACCTATTGGTGGTCATGCCTTGCAGCACAGCAGTGTTGCAGTAAAAAAAAAAAGGAGTGCATATATGTACTGTTTTTTTTTTTTTACCACAACACACGGTATTGCAGTACTGCACATTGCGCTATATTGTAATGTGCGGCCCCTGAAAGATGTGTTGGGGTGCTATTCAAGTGACTGGCAGCACAATGCACCTAGCGCACATTACGGCACACTAGGTGCGCTGAAAGATAGCGTGCATATAACACACAGCTCTGATGTGAAAGGACCCTTAAGCGGGCCGCTAGGTGAGGTGCAGAAAGTGCATCCTCCCTCAGCAAAAATTCATGCATCTCTTATTTTACATTGCACAGTTCTCAGGGAATGATGACCATCAGGTTTTCTTGTGATCCATTCATTGAACAGTGTATGCTGGTCATGCTAAATCTAATAATCTGCACAGGTTTGCTTCCTGAAATTTCACTCATTGACTTCCTTAATCCGGCATTAATCATTCTTCCTGTCATACTTCATCATCAGCACTGCATCAAGTTCTAATCAAGATGTGTAAACTGGGGGATATTTGGGTTATGTAATAACACAGCGAATTAGAAGTCAATGTGCCATAACCCTCATTATGCGGAATTCATTTATTTGCCAACTTGTATTTACTGTTTGTTTATTTCTGATTGGTTCATGTGGGTTCTTATACATCATTAGTTTCTTAATAAATAACCTACACTGTGTCCTTCTGCTAACCATATCCAACCACAAATATCACTATGTAATGAGGACGTTTACCCACCGACACTTGCCTGCCTTTGGTATGCTTGCAGTCAACAATTACGTTTGTTCCTATTTCTTGTACTCTGAATGATCGGGGACTTTGTTGGCACAGCTAACTAGGATCCAGTTATATAAAATATTGTAAGCTCCTTGCCATAGAACTCAGTGCAAACATATCACAGGTACGAGTAGAGCATTAGTGCAGATTTCTAAACATTTTAGCTGGTTTATTTCCGAGCTTTATCTATCCACATAGTCACATAAACTATGTAAAAAAAAAAAAACACAAGTTCATCAAGATCCGCCAACAGAAACATGAATAAAGAAATGCATTGAAAACCTGCATCCACAGAACTCTAAACCCATAGTTACAGATTCAAAGTAAGGCAAAAAAACCCTAATAAATCATGGCCAAATTTGCTCCAACAGGGAAAAAAATCCAAGGCAGTGGAATATTCAATGTATCAACAATCTACAATGTTATTTCGTATAAATATTAATAGCCCCTAATGAAGTCTATTCCACATTTTCACAGCTTTTACTGTTAGGAAGCCTTTCTGTATGTGGCGATCAAAGTATAACCGAAGTCAAAAGTTTTTGTTTAGTTTTGGATAGAGTAAGGGAGGGTAATAACCCCCATCAGCTTTTTTTGCCATTGTGCTTCATTGGTTAGACTTCCTTTCTAATAGCCAGAACAGGAAGTGAAAAAGAGAGGTAAATTCCTGGTGGTCAGCAGGATCACAAGAATTAGTGTTCCCATTGGAAGATTTCCCATCTATTCTTAATCTGATGACAACCCAAAATTTGGGATTTTCTTTTAGTTTTAATGATAACTGTCACCAAGACACTTAGAGGGGGTGGATCTCCCTAACAGGGACTTCACTCTTTACTAACTTATAAAAGGCTTTGTTTTGTCTTCAATTAGACTTTAAACCACTTTTCCTCCAGATGCAAATAATGCCCTCTTGTCATTTGCAATAACCCTAAAGTGAACAACTTTGCACCAAATTTCTTGACATGGACCATTTATGTACTTATACATGGTGATCATTAGGGATGCACCAAAATTAAATTTTTAGACCGAAACTGAAAAAAAAATGTTATCAGGCCAAAACAGAAACAGAAAATGACTTTTTCCCCAACCTTTTTAAAAAAAATGTTGTTAATTTTTATTTTATTTTACTTTATTGTCAGGGGCTTTGATGAAATATCAGGGGTCTGTTTAAACCCCTGATATTTCCCTTTTAAAATAGAAAAAAAGAGTCCTAAATCTCTTTTTCTGCAGCCCGTCATGAATGAACTGAAAGCCTCTATACTGAGTGCTCCTGTCCAATCAAAAACTGTGGCGATAGTATCAGTAACTATGTATACAATCATGATGTAGAACACTTCCTGTTCATTCATAACTGGGGGCACAGTAAGCATACTATATCCCCAGTTATTT